GTGCAGGATTACAATTTCCTATGGTCTACTCATGAGATCCATAAAATACTATGGGATCCAGATGTGAGTCTTGCAGTTATGCAAAGGAGGAAATATAGCATGTCTGTCTTTCGCCATCCTGGTGCTGAGAAGGGGTTCCACTCTTCGAGAAGCCAATCCTCCTTCATGGCCTTCTGTGCTCCAACAGCCAGTAAGGGCAGAGGATGATTTATAATAAAAACATGTGATGGTCCCCCTGGCAGTCTGAAGAGTACAGGGCTCTGTTAATGATGTGACAGATGATAAAGATTCCCTTCTCGAGACGCGCCATTTATCTCTGCACCACTCCTTATCACGGGCTGTCCTTCTTTCAAAGGTTCCTTCCCTTCTCCTTTATTTTATTTTCAAGGGAAATTTCATTTGCCTTCAGATGAAGCAAATTCTAACAAGAAGCTGATTTTTCTGACTGCCTTTACTGTGCAATATCGGGGGGGGTTGCCCCCCACCCTTTTTTAAAGGGAGGATTGTGCATCTGTCTTCATTGACAAGTGGGTGTCAACCATGGTGAACACGTGTGACACTTACTACATTTTCAAGCCAGCCTCAAGGGCATAGGAGGATACCATCCCTTTTATTCAAGAAAAAGTTTACTCCACTGTCTTGTTCTTTGTTTCCATTGGTACCATAGAACCTGTCACCAGATCAAATAGGTTTTGATGTATTTATTGGCTCTAGATAGAGCTGTTGACATCTTAATATGTAACACTCTCCCATATTCAGGTTATAGCTCTGTTTTCCCAACCGAATTAGTAATAAAATAAATATTAGATCACATAACCTTCCTTACAGTTAATGGCTCTTATAATATAGATACACCTTTAAATCATCCCCCAAAAAGGGTAATGGAGAGAGATTGGAAGGGCCTGAATCAGCACACTGTTAAGGATTAACAATATGTTTAGCTGCTGTTAGGGCTCAACAGTGTAATACAATATTTTTCATTTCCCATGAGGACATAAAAAAATGTTGCCTCACAACCCTTGTTTAAGCATAGTTATTTTTGTAGAGCAGATAGCACCTATAAGACACTTCAAAATGTAGTCATCCTTCTGTGTGATTTATGGCTGTTGTGAGAACTTCACTCACTAATGGCTCGAAGGCTGAAAAGATATAAGCTGTACTGCTACTGAAAGCTAATGGAAATTCATTTTAAGTTGTGTATTTGGATCTGAAAATTCTTTGTTCAAGTCCTAGCAGAGTCTCGAATCTTCCTGTTGATATACTCAGTTATTGATCTGAACCACATTGTCTTGACTCTAGTACATCTTAATGTGTGTCCACCCGACACAGTATGTACGCCAAGTATGCAGTGCACTTCAATAGCCCTGTCATTTATAGAAGGCTCTCTTTGATGCTGAAGTGAAGTATTTTATCATCCCTAAAATACATTATGATTTGTTCTGCAGTGGTAGCTCTAATAAAGTCACACTCTCATCCTCAGTATATAACATGTTAATTTTTAGTCATACAACAGTCATGTATGTTTGGGATTCTTTGCCACATGGACAAAAAAGAAATGTCACTTAACTATAAGTGCATATTATGCCTTTCTGGTAGCCATTTCCTCATCCCAGCTGGTTCTATCTAATCTGTCCATCTAGGTTTTGACGAGTGCAGTATAACAAGGGTTTGGGATCTTGCAGTAGCCCTATCCTGTAGACTTTCTGATGTTCAACCAGGAAAAAATTAGCCATTAGGGCAATCCAGCTTTCACATTCAAAGGTAGTGTTATTGTTATATGTAAATGGTACATCTTTCACCTTAGTTTATCTCCATCTAAGGCCAAGCATAATTTTGGCACTTCATTTCTCCCTAAATAGGAAAAGCGGCCTCTGATTTCAAAACATCGTATTCTATACAGTGGTTCCAGAAATATACTAAAACCACCATATACCGAGTACCTGAACTAGGATTCCTACAGAGCCTGTTGTATATGGTTGAATTCAGGGCTTGCCTGATCAGTAAAAAGGCATATTCCACCAGAGGTTTAGTGTCCTGAGCAAGAAGGAAATGTGTCTGTAGAGGATCTCTGCTGATAGCAGTTTTGGAGGGGAGAGGGGTGTCAAGTGACTTATCCTGGATCTTGAACTGACTGGCTGCCAAGAAAATATGTTTTTATTTTATTTTATTTTTTTAGCCATATAGGAATAACCTTACGCGCTCTTCTCAAATTCCAGTATGAGGCACAACTGACTTAATAGAACCTAAGCAGGAATTTAGTGATGTAGCAGACAGGCAGATTAAATAATCAATTTCTTCAGCTGTATGTGGGGCTTTAGGCAAATGAAATGGGAGGTTAGTTTTAATTTTCAGCCACAGACCACCAGAAAAGTTAGTCAGGACTTTTGAGGATTGTTCAGCAGGCAGCATTAAATTTCATTCATCCAAACCAGGTTTTTGGTTGTCCCATGATGCTGGACTTAGGATGTTTCCTGGCCTGTTTGCTGAACAGCTGTTGAGCCTTTTCTGCACACTTTCCCTAGGGAATAAAGGATAGACATGTTTGTTCTAAGTATCCCAAGGGTTGCTGTAGAATAGAATTCTGTATCTCACTCTTTTTTTAAATGAGTGTGCTGATGTGCCCCATACAAGTTTGGGATTGCTAATAAGAGACCATGAGTAACTGTTGATGGGGAGATGGTGTATTTTGGGTCGGGGGAGGAGGGGAATGTGACCCTGTGTCAAATGCATCACCTCTGATTTTAGTCATTCCAATTGATATACCAAGGGTATCAAGAATTTGTATCAGTTCTAATTGAATTTCTGCATATCGTACAACAGTTCAGAAAATCCTCTCTGTTAGAGGCAAGCCATTAGTGTTCCCTGGGTCTTAGGAGGCAGCTGTTGTTGAGACTGAAGACTTCTTTTAGTGTGTTCTTTAGCCATGGTTCTGGGGAAGCATAAATTTGGGAAAGTATATTCCAGCAAGAGAGAACAAGCCAAAATACATTAGTGGTGATCTGAAGAGCTGTTTACAAGACAAAAGAAAGAACTGCAACTCATGAGTTCTGCGTTGGGGTACTGAGACGCAGAAACCATGCTTGCAGGTAGTTCTGTCTTGAATTAATGTTTATAACTCCTTGACATTTAACAAAGTGGTGTTTCTATACCAACATCATATGCTAAAAGAAAATGTCTGTGGCAGCAAGTGATAATTCTGAACATTACACTTCCTGATCAAGATAATGGAGCAAAATAATGGTTCACAACTTTTTTTGTCAGTTGGTTACATAAGATCTGTAAATTCAGTGGTGGTGTTGCTGCCAACATCATTTTGGAAAGGAAAAGAATAAAAATCTCACGAGCAGTAGGGCAGACTGTAAAGGATTTTGTTTTAGCATTCTCCCATTTTAACAGTGAAAAATGTATATATTCTATAGTTAGCACTGAAAACAGAAGCTCAGTCTCCCCCCTTCCTGAAATAGTATCAAGCTGGCTTTTCACGGCCTTCTGTGAAGTGAATTCTAAGAAAAGCTTTGTAAATGCATAGACATTCTAGTGATTATCCAAATTGCTATACATGATCCCAAATGTGACTTTGTTCTTCCTAAAAATTAAGCTGAATTCATCACTGGTCAAGGAGAAATTTGACCCAATGTGATTGTTTATTTTCCTCTTGAAATGTAAATATATAGCTCCCATGTCTAAGGATGATAGCTATTCATTTAATAATAATTAATTAGTATTGCCGTCAGGAAAAACAAAGAGCCATATGAGCTGCTGTGTACCACCAGTTTAAACTTCAACAGATGCTTAACAGGGGAAAACTCTGAATAGCCAGCTTCTCTTCTCTTCCCTCACCCTGTTCAGCAGGATTGCAGGGTGTTGGTAGCCTGTTCTCCCCCATAAAGGTTCCTTTCCCAGGCATTGCCCCGGATTCAGTCCACCACTCCCCATACATGCTTACTCCCACTATGTGTTTTCCCTCTGTGAGACAACCATGCTACTTCATAGGGGGTTCCCAACTTTGAAACACCTTGTTCCCTCATACCATAAACAGGTGCTTTCCTTTTGTCTGACCCGTGCACCATACATGAGAAATGTGTGTCTGATTCTGTTATGCTGCTGAAAAAAGATCAGGGAGAGAATGTCTGTAAGGCCCATTTATTGCTTTCCTCTGCTTAAAATACATTTAAGATGCCCTGAAATAGCGTAGAATAGGACAGACAGACAGAAACCTTTTCCACTAAATATTTGCAAGGCATATTTTTGGACAAGTGTGGTGTAAATAAAGAGCAAGATGAGAAAATAGACATAATTTAGTTTGATTTTTATTTGTAGATAGAGTAGTCCTAAGTAGGTGGATCACCATCAGGAAAAGGTGTGCTCAGTAGCTCTAGTGAGAACATAACAATAGCTCTTTCATTGTGAGCAGAGAGCTAATTGCTAACCCATCTGATTCTGATTCCAGTTAGTAACTTTAGTTGTTTTACAGTACTGTCCAGTGTTGTTGTTGGGCTCTTCAAAAAACTGATGATTTCATCCTGCTGTATAGAATTTCTACAGCTACATGTGTAATTTTGAGTAAAAGCAATGCTGTTTATCTAATTATTTTTAGGTCTTCAATTGCCCATTTATTATTTATACTTTCATGCTCCCTAGATTGAAGAGTTCTATAATTTTTTCCTTTTGTTTCTCTGCTTGGCTGTTGTTCCATTTGACATGTGGGTAATGTGATGGATATTGCAAGGAAAGCTCTTTGTATTGCACTAATATAAAGATGCTTCTCATCCATGTTGAATCTCAGTGCTGTATTTAACTAATGCACCAATTCTACAAACATGTAGTTTGTAGAATAAGTTCCAAGGCTGCTTAAGGCAGATCTCTGTTGTGGCAGATGGCTAATCTTTTTCTTTGTATTGTATTGTTATGAATAGCAAATATTCATAGATAAATATAACATTGCAGCCTGATCATACATATACAAAACTGCCTAATGTGATGCTACTCTTCCTTGACTTCAGCTCTGGTAATGTACATTAGAAATGTTCATATCACCACTAAAATACACTGTGATTTGTTCTGCAATGGTAGTTCTAATCAAGTCACATTCACTCATGCTCCTAAGCTAATTTTTAAGCATACAGCAGTCATGCCTGTTTGGGATTCGACACATGATTCCAATTTATTGTGTGTCCAACTATAAATGCGTATTATTGTTGCTGTTACTTTTTAGCAGGATTCCTTGTTCTCCACCCCACCCCAAAATGAAACCTAACTTTTTGCTTCCTCTCTTTTACAGAATCTGATATTGATGCTGCTACTGCAATGATGCTGTTAAATACTTCCATTGAACAAGGGATTTTAGACTGTAAGCATAAACGGTTTTATGCATTGTTTTTTCCTTTACTGAAAGCTAAAAAAATTATAGCTGAAAATTTCAGAAGTGAGGTATGCTCTAGCTCAGTGTTTCTCAACCTTTTTAATAGCAGTGACTGGCTTGCTGCCTTCCTACACTGTATCAGGGAGATCTCAGGGACTGGTGCCGGTCCACGGACCCGTTGTTGAGAAACTCTGTGGCTAGCTTATAAATGGTAGGGTGGCCATCCTGCATATTCAGCCCCTTCTGCCAACATTCCCCAGTTTTACAGGGACCCCATTTCTGCTTTCTCTCGTTAGTCTGGTTGCCTTCTGCCACTCCATAGTTGGAGACACTATACTTCTAGCCCACGTCTCTACCACTACTATTCGTATTCAGGATTTGCTGAATATCAAGATCTTCTAGTATTCAGTGTTCATTAAATGATGGATCCATCACACCTTATGTAAACTAAATACTCAGTTTAAAAATCTTACCTTTGCACATCAGTCTGATAGACTGGGATGGCAGATTTTAGTTTGAGCTATTTTGCTTACTTATATATCTTTGCTTTCAATAGGTGAGAAGGCCCAACCTCTTAAGATGCCCAAGAAGAGGAGTTATGGCAGTGCATTTAATCATCACAGTTCCATAAACCTGCAAGAAAATCATTCTGCAGCCACTAATATTGATCCAAAGGAGGATCACAATTACAGTGCTAGCAGCATGGCTTCACAATGTTGTGCATCTAGGTCCAGCATGTCTTCCTTGTCCTCTGTTGATGAGGTGTATGAATTTATCTCCAAGACCAGCCATGCAGGAAGCGATGGCAGTGAAGGTTTTCATAGTGAAGTGGATACGGACATTGACTATGAAGACGACCCTCTTGGAGACAGTGGCTATTCATCACAACCTTGTGTAGATACCTCTGACAAAAGTCAGCCTAGCAAGAAAGCTCTCAAGGAGTTATGTCAAGAAATTGATGAGGAGCTGAAAGAGGCAGCTGGGTCTCTGCTCCACCTGGCTGGAATCAGCACATGCTTGGGTTCCCTAATAAGTACTGCAAAGACCCAAAGTCAAAAGCAGAGGAAAAAATAGTAATGCTTGTTAGTGTGAATATATACATATATTTTTTTTAAGTGTGGCAATACTCTTCTACTTTTACCCTTTATAAGGAAGATCAAAGCCATAAGAGGACTTGGTTTTTTATTTTTTTGATGCTAATTTTAGTTTGGCCTTTTATTTTCAAATCATTGCTTAGAAAATGTTTTATTTAATCTTTTCAGATTAGGAGAGATGCATGACATGTGAAAACCTAACTGTATACTTTTTGATGACCAGTGATTGAATATTTGACCATTTACAGGGGGATGCATAGGTTCAGATGCATGTGTGAAATTTACCCCTGTGCAGGCCTACTCCACACAGTGAATTTCACCCTAGGTGAAGGGACACAATTTCCCCATCTCCCTCCCCAAGACACAAATAACTTTCACTGGTATAGCAAACAGTAAGAAGCTGCCACTGCACATGTGCCACTTACCATTTTCCCCAACTATGGAATACACAGTAGCTGTTAGCTAAAGGTTTTTGCTGTTTTTGTTTTGTTTTTCATGTGTAAAAAATACTTGTTAACAAATACACAGTTCATGCTGTCTCAGTCCACAAATGAAGTGGAGAGTCTAGATGGCTAAATTGTAAATGACTGCTGGAAAGATCTTTGGGTCATGTTTAAGAAAAGCATAATATAATAGTTTCCTTTAAGATTAGGAAAACTGAGTTAATTACATTAATTTCTAAATACACTTCATGCGTTTTAATATCGGCTACCGTAACTTTGGTCTAAGTCTACTGATTACTGTGCTTCTGCTTCATGCTGTATGTACCATTTTAGCTTCCTTTCAACTACAGTGTATGTCCAATAGCATGGCATTCTTAGGGCATACACTGTGACTCATGGTGGTCTCTTCATATTTGGGAGTGAAGCTCCTTAAAATTCATCACCTTTGCAATAATAATCTTTATAACCCAAACATCTTGTGGACAAGAATGTTATAGTAATCGAGTGTAATGGATTTTTTTAAAAAGCTCAATGTTGACTGCTTAACTCTTAATGTAGATGGTGGCAATTTTTTTAGTATTTTGTGCAAAAGAAATGGGTACACAGACATGTTAGAATAAGTTTAACAGTACTGTAAGTATAAGAATGCCTTAAGTATGTTTCAGCATAGTATAAAACTTAAGAGGTCATTTTGCCTGTGTTTGAGAGGCAGTGTGATGTGCCATGAATCTGTTTAGCTCATACGTTAAGCTGCTGCTTTCAATAAGTGTTGGGCAAGATGGCTTAGAATTAGAATCAAATACTGTATACCCATATATGAAACCGTGTCCAGTGTTTGGTTGTTCAGAACAATGCTGGATTCAACAAAAAGAAATGAAGCTAAACTGTTACTAATGGGATAATGTTTTTCTGGCCACTTAGATACAAAGCTCTTAGAGTTCGGTGTTTTCTTACTTGTCAGTTTCTCCATGTATCCTGCCCGTATAATTATCCCTTCCAGTTTAAGTATTCATACAGCCATGCTGCTGAAGGCCTACTGTTCTAAGGTTCTGCTCCAGTGCTTGTTGAAGATAATGGAGATACTCCCATTGACTTAATGGGCTTTGTTTGGATCAGGCCCCAAGATATTCAAGCATCTTGAAACATAGCGTTTCTTTGGTATTTAAATCCAGTGGCTTTAAGAGGGCTCCACTTTTAGTTTTAAGCATAAAAGTAAAAAAAAAAAAAAAAAAGAAATCTGTCTCTCTGGCACTGTGACTGTGCACACACACACACCTGTCCACCTATACTGAGGAAAAAATGGTATACAAATGTGCTCCATTTTGCATCATATTTGCATCTTTCTTAGATGTCTCGAGCAGTGAATTAGCTGACCATATCTGTTATTGAACAGATAATTAATTTCACCCATTATCTCACAATTGAAAAACAAACAAATGAAAAACCCCATTAATTTTAATTACAAACATGGGATTTCTTAACACTGAGATGTACATGTTGATGCTTGACATTTCTTTCACTAGTGTTTGCCAATATACTTTTTAATAGTTTGATACAAAACATGTTCAGTATAGCAAAGTAAAAGTAATTATTATTATTATAGCAATATAAAAATGATTCAACTATGGAGAAGCATCATTAATATCACTTTGAAATTCATTTAAGTTTTGTATATCTCAATTTTTTTAAATTCAACACTATGGAATAAGTGTTGTATTAAGCTCCAGATAAAGTCAATCACAGCCTTTCTGTTAACCTTAAAGGAAGGAAGGTGGATCACTCCCTAAATTTTCCAGTATTTGAATTTGTATTCATACTCATTTTCTCGCAGTTTGCCTTGGTAAGAATGTTAACCTGTTCAAATCTTATCCTTCATTTCCCAACAGAATCAATGTTTTCAAAATAAAGATTCCACACTAAATAGGGGCCTGATTGTACCACTTTTACACTGGAATCAGTTGTGCTACTCAGCATGAGTGAGGGTGTCAGAATTGGGAGATAGATTTATAATGCATTTTAGTCTCCATATGCAAAGACAGAGCAATAAAATCATTCTGTAATTAACAAAAAGTTAAGGGTGCAATTTGCACCTTTCACATAAAACCTAAATGAATGAACTGAGAGAGATGGGGGATTGGAATCTTCCCTTCTGAGCAAGCGGTAGTAGGGCACAGGACACTTGTACAACTGCTTTGCACCCATTGCTACAGTCAGTGCTGCACTCCCCACCAAGTGTAAAGGCAGATGGATCTTTACTTTACTCACCCACTGACCGCATTCCTGCATGTCCCTGTATTAATCTCAGTGCTCTGTTCCAGCAGACAGAAGGGCTGTGGTGTCCTCCTGCAATCTCTTGCTTCTCAGATCTCAACACCTCCTGCTGCAGAGGATGTGAATGTCATCCTATTCTGTTGTGGATTACCCTTCTTTTATATTCACCTCATATAGTTTCATATCCTTTCACTTACACACCTTGGGGTCTGAGTTAGACCATGGTGTATATAGTATAAATTGAAGGGTGTTTTAACTGCTTTTTCAGTGACATTATATAAAGAGTTCATACCAAATGGTATATTTTAGCAGCTGTTAAAAGGGTAGGGAAAGTGTTAATGTCACTTGCAATTCTTAATTAAAATGAAGAAGTGTATGAGACCTGTTTACCAGGGAGGCTATCCTATTAAATACTGATGTGAATACTATAAAAAGCTGAATCAGTCTTTCAAATTCCAGTACTAAATTATTGCTTCTGTGAAAATCACAGCAAATGTTTTAAAATCCAACTTTAAAAATGGAAGTTGCAAGTCATTCAACTTCTTTGTTAGGCTAAAAAGTGAAAGCTTTGGTTAAAGCAAAGCATTCATACATGTTAATAATGGTGTAGTCAAAATATTTATTGAAAGAAAAAGTAGAGTATTTTAAATGTTGCACCTGCCATTATCTTAAAGCACATTCTTCACATCTGCCAGTGCCATTATCAAGACTGTTTTATAAATGTACATTTCTTCAAACTAAGTGCATAATTTAAAGTATTATGTTGCCATCATATAGTGATAAGACATTTTATAATTGCCAATTCATTGTAACTATTATTTATTTAAAAGTGAAATTGTAAGAATGCTTTCTGATCAAAGCAACTGGAGTTGTTTTAAAATACTCCCTTTAGCTTGTTTTCTAATGTAGCATAAGAAATGTCTTGGGTTTATTTAGAATAACTCTGCCAGTAGATGACCAATCCTAACCCACCCCCACAGCCCTAGTTCAGTCCTTTACCCATTTTAAAGACAATTTACAGAAGTTTAGTTTTTTGTATTCTAACCTCTGTTAATTAAAATGTTTATAAAGTTTATTTTTACCAAAGAGATGCAATTCAATATAAAACATTGCAGAATAAACTTTGTTTTATAACATTTATGACTGTTCATTTTCTGCACATTTTTCATGCATGTGATTGAAGGGGCTTATATACAAATAAACAGCATTAAGAATGGGAAGCAGCCCAGTATTATCTATTTTTCCACAGAGATACAGGGCCTGTTCTCATGAGGGGCTGAGTGCCCTTGACTCCCATTCAAGTCACTGCCTCACAGGATTGGCCCATTCAAAAAAAAAATCTTTGTAATTCAGTCTAGGTCTCTGTTTAATTATGAAAGTCACTCTCATATGGAATAAGTTGTACCACAAGTGAACTCTGTCAAAATATCCACTGTCTGTCTAACTTTTCCTTGATAATTGGACCGATTCTGAACTGTAGATAAAAATGACATGACGCCAACATCTTGAGCCCCACCCCCTCTATTTTTTTCTAAGTTCATAAAATGGAAGAATCCACTCCTGGGGAGAAATCCTGGCCCAATTGAAGATGAGAATATTGCTATTTGACTTTGAGACCAGAATTTCACCCCTAAATTCTGGAATTTAAGACTATTTTGAGGTCACTGCAATTTCTGAGTATCACTTCATCCCTTTCCCTTCTCTACTGCTATGCCTTGCTCATGAGGTGTATGTTTTGCTTTTATACACAAGGTATTTGTTTCAAATATTTACTTAATTTTAAAAATATTTGCAGATAGTAGCAATCAGATGATCCACACAATTATGAAATAATGGAATATCCCCAGTTGGCTAAACTAGTTACCCACAGAGCTGCCATTGAGTGCTTGGAAGATACATTATTGCTTAATAAAACAATGCAGTTTCTCCAAGGGTCATTGAATTATATCCCCCTCTGGGTTTGCGATTTGTTTTGTTTGGTACTTTTCCAGTTTTATCTAATTTTTCTTTCAATATGATGATGTTCAAACTCTGGCATGCCCTACTTTTCATGGGGCCTTGTGCAAAGCAATATGCAGTAGCTCACTCCTTTTTCTCCTTCCTGCTGCCCCAAACCACTTACTCCTTTGGGCTCTGACTCCTTACTAAAATTAAACATGGACTCTTATTCTGCCTGATAGCAGGGGTGTGTTTTGTAAATAGGGTGGGGTGCAGGGTGGGGCCCAAAGAGTTGCCTGCACCCATAACCAAGCTTCTCAAATATGCATTCAACCCTGTTGATCCATGACCTGTTCCCTCTCCCTAATTAAATGTCTTACTGCATGTTCCATCTTTATCCTAAGACAGTGCTTCATACCACAAGATGAACTCAAAGTTGCTAATGTATTAACGTAACTTACTCTATTTTAATATTTCCCCCTTTAATCTACAAGAGACTAGCTTGCTTTTTTATTAGAATTGTTTTATTTTTGAACTGTGCTAATAAATGTGAAATTTCCATTAAGCAAATCAACTAGAAACTTGGGTTACATCATGTAAAGAAATTGGTCTTAGAAACTATAGTAGGATGGGATCTTAGCTTAAGAGTGAACTGCTTCAGCACCATCATGGAAGTCTTGAATCTAAGGGCATGTCTACACTTACCTCCAGAGCGATCGATCCAGCGGGGGTCGACCGCCAAGCGCTCTCCCGTCGACTTCGGTACGCCACTGGAGCGAGAAGCGTAAGGGGAGTTGACGGGGAGCATCAGCAGTTGACCTACAGCAATGAAGACACCGCGGTAAATAGCTCTAAGTACGTAGACTTCAGCTATGCTATTTTCGTAGCTGAAGTTGTGTAACTTAGACTAACTTAGCTCGCCCCCCCAGTGTAGACCAGGCCTCAATGTTATAATTAAAAGCCTAATGAGATACTCTGAGTTATGAGGGTCTGGTCCCATCATGGATTCCATCGACATCCTAAACCTCAGGAGTGCCAAAACTTAATGATGGATTTTTTTTCCTGTTGCAGACAGTGGTTTATCTGTTTTCTATTTTTCCCCCTGTATGTAATTTATTAAATCTCTCAAATGAAATTAAAGCTCTACTGTCTTAGAAATGTTTTAGTCTGATATTTTAAAGGTGTGATATGCAATACATGTGAGTCTTAATTTAATCTAGTAAACCAAGAGAGATGTTCAGACTTTAAATCACAAATTACACACTATCCCAATGCCAATAATGCTTGTTGAGCTGTAGTGTTAGTTATCTGATAGCTGACAAGAGTACTCCTTATATTGTCTAATTAGCTTAGGTGGAAACAACAATTGTATATGAAGTTTTAGTGGTGTGTGTCTAATTGTCATTCAGTGGTATTGTAGAAAAGAACCTTAACTTCACTCTTAAATTTTCTGTGGTCTTTTTCCTTGGGTTTAGCTGTGGATTATGCTCAAGTCTAAATAGTCATAACTTTTTAACCATTATACAAGGTGTGATTTTGAATATTTATCATGAAAAGGGAACACTTAGATGATTTTAGTTTCTTA